ATATTTGGAAACTGGTGTAAGCGACTGAGCGGCTGCCGGGTAACTCAGCTCGAGTCGCGTCGTAAGAAATCAACCATATTCGAAGCAATTCGGAGCAGTCACATGCACACTGCGTGACTATAGAACTATACATAATATAGAACTATACATAAATATTGCGTATTTTCAATATCGAAAACTTTCAATATCGAACTTCCGAGTATCTCGAGACATTACAATTTCCTCCCCTTCTTGTTTATCTTTACTTTATTTGAGCCTTTCCGAACGTCGAATTTACCTTTTTCGGACTTCTAACATTTTCCTCTTTGCAATCACACTCATTTTTTTGTGTGTTGCTGGCATCGTCAAATCGTATAATCTGATCTACGTGATGTTTTCAGATTTTACCGGACGCATCTCCACCTGAAATGTCACAGATGATAATCTCTTTATGATTTTGCTTTTAATTTTTTTTTTTTATTGCGTACGCTAAAATCGTCTACAAGGACGACGTCTACATTGAAATTAACATTACGATTACCTTTTCTGCCTACTATCTATGCGATTTGCTTCGTGTTTATTTCGGTAAATAGATAATAGGCAGAATATCGCTCGTCAGGTTTAAGTAGATCGAATCGAGTTCTAAGCTCGTGCTTATATACCAAATATGTTGGACTTCGACTAGTCGTGCAATGCTCCGTCGCTCGGTGATCGAATAAAAACAAATCTATCTCATACTCAAGATTTTTACCGCTCTTTAAATGTAATTATAAAACTTTTTAAATCCGAATATGATCGCACTGGCTTCCTTATCAATTGGTGCTCGATGCAGCTCTTTTGCCGGTATTTTGGACGCGTAAACTATTGGTTTCTCCGACTCGTCCGAGTATTTATGTGATTAAATCGCAGATAGACCGTAGGACGAAGCATCGCAAACTAACGCAATCTCCTCATTCCTATCATAATGAGCCAAAACTTTCGATGACGTCAACTCTGTTTTTATCCATTCAAATGCGACGTCGCATTCTTTTAACCAAGTGAATTTGTTTTCTTTCATACACTCGTATAGTGATTTCAATTTATTGGCTCTATCGGATAAAAATCGTGCATAATACGTTATTAGGCCTATGAACGATTGCAATTGCTTCGTGTCTTTGGGCCTCGGAGCGTCAACAATAGCTTTAATTTTCGTAAGAGATTTGATGTAATCCCTCTTTATCGATCACAAACCCGAGAATGTCCAAGCGTTCCTTAAAAAAATCACATTTATTTATATTTACTCTTAGCCACTATCTTCAAGCTGAAGGCCCTACGAAGCGTTTGCAAGTATTCGTCGTCATTTTTGCCGATACAAAAAATATTATCAAGGTACGGAATAACGTTATCAATTCCGGCAAGACATTGCTCGATTTTCCGTTGAAAATCGCCCTGAGGTTATTCCCTCAGTCATTTTGGTATATCTGTATAACCCCTTATGTGTAACAATAGTTAAATAATTTCTCGAACTTTCCTCTACCGGGATCTGCATATATGCGTGCTCCAAATCAATTTGAGAAATTTTCTACCGCCACTCAGTGCTGCAAAAATCTCATCTATTAATGGAATCGGATGACGATCAATTATTAAGTTCGGATTTAATGTGAGTTTAAAGTTACCACAGATTCTAATTGAGCCATTCTTCTTTCTCTTAATACTTTCACCGGTACTATCGGCGTTGACCACTCGCTGACGTCAAGGTGCTTTCTCAAGGTGCTTTAGTTTTAAGAACCGATCAATTTCATTCTCTATTTTTTCCGCGTAAGAGAGTCCTCTTGCCTTGAGTGACACCGGTTTCACGTTTTCTTTCAAAATGATTTTGAGCATGCCTTTATTCCTGGACCTGAACCAAACAACCGCGGAAACTCATTTTTAAAAACGCTTTTATAACGCCGACAAAATCAATTATCTTATTGCAATTGCTTTGATTATTTACTAACTCTTTCTCTAATTTTAAAGGCCACATTCCGAATACAATATATAAAAAAATATTGTATTAGAATTTTAATCTAATTAAATAAAAAAATTTTACGATATTGAATTGAAATTATATAAAAAGTCTATTTTACCTTTATTGGTACAAAAGATGTAAAATCAAAAAATTGAAAAATTGATGCCAAATTTCTTATAATATAAAAAAGAATTTATTGTAGTGAAATAAACTTTTAATCATCTTATTAACCATCTTATTAAATAAAGAAAACCTTGCGACCATGAAATCATATTTTAAATGTAAATTTTTAATGTAGAGCGATCTCTTAAGATCAAACTGACGTACAATCTGCCAATCTGCTGACATAGCATATCAGCAGGCTTTATCCTATTTTTGAGATTGCTCACATCGTCAGATATTACAGACTCTATGTACAATTTGTTGCCTTTTTGCCATATTGATAGCAGGCTTCGCTCAAAATCTGTTTCTGCAGGTTTTGCTATCCGAGTTATTTTTATTAACATAATAGAGGGAATAGTTTATTTTTTGCTATTTATAGGAAAAGAAAAGTAAATTATAAACGATGAACATGGACGTATTCAAAAAGGGGGAAGAGATTTGGGGATTTCAACTCCCTTTGAATTTAAAAAAAGAAGTTAAAATTAAAATTATGATTTATAAAACCTAATATTTTTTTCATTTAAAAGCAGGAACGAGAAAATTCTAAAATATCCGAAAAAGCAATTCATTAATGTCAAAAAATTGATTTTTTATAACAGAATTGATAAACCTCTTCCTCCAAAAAAAAATTCTAGGTCGATAATAACATGAATTATATATTACAAATTTAAACAAGTAATATTTCAGATTAAATTAAGTTAAGATTAAATTAATTAGAATTTATTCATAATAACATGATAACACGATAACATGATGATAACATGATGATATCTTTCGAAATTTGTGTGGCAAAATGTGTCGCAAAGTAAATTTAATAATTTTTTTGTTCGTATTTATTGAATAAAAATATCTATCTGAAGTAAAATATTATGTAACTCACATCCATTTATATTTCAACGATATGATTTCTGTGTAAGCGTATATTTATCGTATATATCTTATCATATATGTAAATGGTTTTTAACTTGTTTATCAATCTAATTTTTTTTTTTACTTCCTTCTTTTTATCTTTATACGCTTTTTGTGATATATAAGCAATGCTATTGCAAATAAAATTCTAGTATTCTGAAAAACAGACGCCAAAGGGAACAGATCAGAAATCAAGGATCAAAAATATTATAGTAGTAGAGAGAGAGAGAGAGAGAGAGAGAGAGGAGATTTGACGATGGATTTCTTGATATGCACGACAGCGCTGATAATATTCCTCAGTCTCTTCTACGTGTACGCGAAGTACAGGCTGTCCTATTGGAGTAGACGTGGAGTGAAAAGTCCTCCGACGCATCTGCTCTTTGGCAATTTCAAGGACTGCTTCATCTTTAAGAAGCCGCCGAGTGAGATATTGCGCGAAATTTACAACAGTGCTAATCCGGATGATCCCTACATCGGCTTCTATATCTTCCACAAACCTATACTGCTCCTGAGGGACCACGATGTGATCAAACAAATAATGAACAAGGACTTCGATGTCTTTCCAAACCGCCGATTCGGTTCGGGTCTCGAGAGAGACTCGGTGAACCTGGATAGTATCCTCTCCATAAAGCAGCCCAGATGGAAATACTTAAGAAACAAATTAACACCGATCTTGACGGGACAAAAGCTGAAGAATATGTTACCACTGATGGTGGAGTGCGGAAAGCCTATGATAGATTTTATCGAAAAATCGCCAATAAACGAAACTGGCCAGAATAAATGTGAAGTAAAGGACATCAGTAGTCGTTATAGCACTGACGTTATAGCTTCTCTTGCGTTCGGCATTGCTATAAATTCATTCGACGAAAAAGAGACAGACTTCTGGAATAATGGTGGGATTTTATTTTTAATTTTATCCTGCGAAATTAGTACGTTGAATTATAAAATTACATTATAATCTACACATTCGCAGGCATGAAGATCTTCAAGGGCTTCAAGCGCAGTATTGTATTCATTATTCTCTTCTTTATTCCCGAATGGGATTTCTTAATTGGGCCGTTCATTAGAGAACCCGCGAATTATTTTCGTCAGGTTTTCTGGGACTCTATGAACACCAGAGAAAGATTGGCATTCAAAAGAGGAGATATGATAGATTATATGTTGGCACTTAAGAATGGAGAACAGGATCCTATTTACAGTAAAGATTACTTGACTTAAATAAAATTTAAACACTAACAATTATTTTACAATAACAATTTTACAATAACAATTATTTATGTAACATATATATATATATATATATATATATATATATATATTAAAAATGTGATGATATTACTATTAATATCTTAAACTTCAAAATTTTATATTGTGTTGAACTTATAAATTATTGAGAGAAATTATGAAGAGAAATTTATTAATTAATCATTAATTTCATAGCATTTGAAGGTGATCGTTTATTAGCACATCCAACCAGTTTTTATATCGCTGGACTTGAAGCAACTGCGACCGCAATTGCTTTTGTTTTATATGATTTAGCGTGTTACCCAGAACATCAAACCACTTTATACAATGAAATACAGACATACCTATCCGGAAAAGAATTGACCATGGATTTAATAAATGAGATGTCTTTTTTGGACAGCGTTGTAGTCGAATCGTTGAGATTACATCCACCTCTACCTGTCACTGACAGAATAGCCTTGAGAGATTACAAGGTGAATTCTTAACGAGACCAATTTCTTCCATAGTTTCATCACTTCTTTGATTATTATATATTCGTCCTTGCTTTCCAGTTGCCAAATACCGAATTGATAATTGAGAAGGACATTCCAGTGTATATTTCTGTAAATGCGTCCAATCAAGATCCTAAATATTTTTCTCATCCGCAAGACTTTGATCCAAGAAGAATAAAAACGGGAGACAAAAAATTTTACGAATCATTGGCATTTGGTATCGGACCTCGATCATGTATTGGTAAGTTATAAAATATTCTTATTTAGATATGTGAGAGAGAAAAAATATACTATATAGATATCATAATTTCTTTTTATATTTTTTATACATATATTAAATACGTGTAACTGTTTTGAAATTTTAGGGCAGAGATTTGCTCTAATAATTATAAAAGTGGCCTTGATTATGATTCTCTCAAATTATATTATGTCTTACGAAACTAAAACTACTTTAAATAACAATCAAGCTATTCATGTGTTCACATATGCGGCTGATGGTCTGCATGTATTATTTAAAAAACGTAATTAATATTCACTCGTCATTTTGTTTTTTAAGTAATATATTTTGTATGCAGTATATACTGCAAAAATAAGTAAACTATAAATTTAATACATTATATGTCTCTCAATTTTATTATCTGTTTTATTATCTATTTAAATCTCAATAAGAGTTTAAGGAAATGAGGCAGAATGATAAAATAAAAAGAATACAAAACATTACTACAAGATTGTATATTTACAAACGTAACAGAATATGAATATATCTCTTTAAATATTATTATATAATTCTTACAGTTGTTAAAATTAATTTATTGTCACACATGTCTTTTATAAGTACGAATAAGAAGTGTGCGATTTCTAATATATTCAGGTAACTATATGCGTTATATAAAACATTCATACACAAATTTTAGAAGAATAGGTATTTATATTTGCTTACCATTTTTTATTTTTTCCTAGGATGTGTATTTAAAAATATTTAATTTGTCATGATGTCTCATTTATATAATTGTATGCAAAACATTACAATAAAATAAGAATTAAATTAAATTAAATCGTACGTGAGTAATGCATGTCAACACACTCTCACTATAAAAATATAATATACTTTCGCATGTTCATGTATTATATATACTTTGTTTTTAAATATATCGTCGTTAATTTGCGAGGTCAACGGCTTTATACTCTTAATATTTAAGAAAAAAGATTCTGAAAGAGATTTTTGAACACTATACGCATAACAAGATTTACAATTAACATTACAACATAACTTAAAGTTTCGTTTCGTGTTTCACTCGTGTTCTGAGTAATTGACTTGGTCGTAGAGCACTGTGAGAATTATTTAGATAACAATTGTTAAATGTAACATTAGACACAGTACTGTTAGGATCAGTGACATCATTTCCTTCGTTATTTTCATATGCGTGACGCCTTTGTAAGATTTCGTCGTAATTATGACCGTGATTAACTTTTGTTTGCATTTGTGCTTCTGAATCTGTCTCATCTTCATTATCAGCGCTATCTACATCGCCTAAAAAATTACTGTAATTAAATTACTGTCATAAAGATCCATAACCGATTAAAATAAATTATAAGTTTTATCATCAATCTTATCAATTGTCAAATTTTTATGACATAGTATAGATTAGCTCAATTGCAATAAGTAGAAAACACACTCACCATCGGAACTATTAGTGGACGGCAAGTAAAAACGAGAAGAGGATATTTTATTATTTCCCGCACGACGTTCTCGTTCTCTCGCGCTGTTAGGATTATACTTAAACTCGCGAGGAAGTGTGTAGCTTCTAGGTAATGAGACTTGACTACCCTCCATGTCACTAATTTCCGCCTCTCCTTCGCCTTCGCCTTTGGAATTTTCTTCGATGCCATTCTGATTCGCATGCAATCTGATAAAATAATTGATAAAATTTTAACAAATTGATTCATTTAAATTCAGTCGTTTTAATTCGAGTTGAGAGTTACGTTCGAGTGACTTTTTACCTGTGACTAAGATGTCCAGGTGGTGACCAATGAGGATAATGATGCGGAAGACATCGCGGTGCTAGTAATATCTCTGGCGTATCCGCTCGTTCTCGCTGTGGCGCCGCTCTCCACGGATTCGAGAGATGCGAGTTAGGATAGTATGAGGAAGAAGGTGGAGGTAAGAGGCAATGCATTTTCACGGGCGGCCAGGACGATAACGCACCGCCGCCATTCTGCTCAGTGAATGACGACGGAGATGTAAATAACGGGGAACTTGGAGATGTATGCAATTTTGTATTTGGTGGTGGTTGCTGATTAGATGCGGAAGGGGAGGATGAAAAAGAGGATGTAGAAGCGGACGGAGGTGGGAACAGTTTACCTTCCTTGATCTCTTCTTGTATGGCTCGTAGTTCACGCAATTGCTGTTGCTTTTTTTCCTTCAGTTTTTCTCGTATTAATGTTACATTCAACGAGCCACCGATTGCCATATCAGTCTCATCTTTGCGTTCGTTGGGACTATCATTCTGTAACGAAATATTAATTACATAGTCACAAGTCATATGGCAACGAATACAATTAATGAAAAGATTTGTCACAAATATCTACCTGTACTACATTAGAAGATATAGGCTTCTTCCAAAATGGAATCAATTGCCGTGATCCGTTCCCCATATTAAGCCACTGTTTTGAATCGTTTATCGCCGCTACAGAATTGATCATTGTGCCTGTTTGTGATTGCGGTGGTGGCGGTGGTACAAAGCTGGTTGGTTTCTTCTTTTTGCGATTCGGATTTACAACTGTTGGATTCGCGAAACGGCAATTGAATACGCCCGGTATACCGCCGTTGCTTAATTTAACTTTTCTCATACCAATGCTAATATCGACCTTTTTCTCCTCATTATAATCTATTTGTTTCTCTTCTGCATTATCCTGAAAATTCAACAAATTGTGTAACGATGCCTCCAAGAAGAGAAATCTATCTCATACCTGATTGGATAATGTAGTAAGATTCGAACCAGTCATTCGTCCACCAGCTTCATACCTCAATCTTCTCACGTGAAAAAATCTATAATAAGATAGGAAAACATAAAACAACTATTGATATTAATAAAATAAAGCTGAACAAAACATTGCTTACCTGTAATAAAGACCCATAAAAAACATGCCACCAAAAAATAAAGCTAATAGAACAAATACTAGAGTAACTGGATGTAGATGATGCTGATGAGGCAAAAGATCAGCACGATTAACACCAGCTATCCATACGCCAATAAGTAAACTGTTTTCCAAGAACATTACAGTGTAAAATATCACCTGAAAGAATAGAAACGTAACAATAACACAATGTAAATTGTCTTTCAATGTAGATATATAAACCATTTGATATTTTGCGTACCATTTTTTGACGATGATTCGTCTCGTGTAGATTAACATATGCGAATATATATACAAAGGCAAGAAGAGAAGCGAGAAAACTCTTCCTAAGAAGAGGCAGACGTTCGCTACCGTGGAAGAGTCCATCCGGTGTGAGTAGTAACCATGTTAACATAGATAACCAGTGGAGAGCCATCACGATCAACAGCCATTGTCCACCGTACAGCGAAGCATACGCGACCAGTGCTCCGACACGAGCACTCACTGTCCCCAGACGCCAAAATAATTGCGCTAGCACTCCCAACCATGTTAGCACTAAACGTTCTAGATTACGTAGACGCGCAGCACCCTTGCTGAAACTGGCTACCGCCCAGCATACGCTCCACAGGGAGAGTCCTGCCGACACTAGCGTTAGCTTCGCTAATTTACTACTGTCTTTGCCTTCGCCTTCTTTCGGCTTCTCAGCTTCTATTTCACTACCATCGGTAGCGCCAAATAGGACGTACAGCTGCAAAAGTAGCATTGGAGCGGCCTCACAAAACGCGTGTATCAGCCGTAATACGCACAGCTCTCGCACCTGAAACAATAAAACATATGATAAGACAAAAAATCAGTAGAACATTTTTTCTTTGAAAGTACATACTTCGTGTTTCACATAAGTTAAATTGACTGGGATAAATAACTTGAAATATCTCCATAATACACCAACTTGCGTAGAGTGGAGTAAAAGAACACAGCCTACAGTCCAATTGCCAATTCTCTTCACTGCATTTATGTGACAATCGTCTGCGTTATTGTTTGTTAGTTTACCTCTAGCTCCCCAAAGATACCATCGCAAACTAACAATCTATAAAAATAATTATATAGATACAAATAACAAGTATAGAAATAATGATATTTATTTCTATTTAGTGATATTTATTTCTTCAAACACAAACCTGAGAAATCAACAGAGAAGTTGCTACAAAAGTAATGCTTAATGGAAATAATATGGGTGCTATCGCTTGATGGGCAAGAGCATATATCATAGCAAAATCAAAGACAACATCGCAGAAATAGGATGCTAACGAAATAATGTTAAATAATACGTCACACAGGGGTAAAAATTCGTGCTGATGTTGTGATTGATGACACTGGGCCATAATGGGCTTTTATTGCCCATTTGGAATATTTAACAATTTTTTATTTCACTTTTATCACTATCTATTCCCTTCTTCCTGTAAATAAAATATTACACATCTTACTAAATTATATAATAATAATAAAAAAGTAAAAGAGGAAGCACTATATATATAAATCTCTAAAATTTTACAAAATTAATTTACAAAATTAAATTTACAAATTTTTCTAAAAAAAATATTGATTTATTTAAAAAATTATAAATTTAAAATACGAAAATACATTATTTTATATTATTTTTCATCTTCGCGCTCTTCCTCATTTTAAATTTTATTTGAATTAAATATAATATTCTTCTTCTTTAACTATCTTTCTTTTATAATTAAAAATAAAAGTATTTTTCAATCATTTTAAATATATAAATTAAAAAAATAGATACTGTTAAAAGCATGATAAAAATCACCAATAGGAATTTTGAGCTGAGACAGCTATAAATAAGTCACGATGTCACAGGCGAACTCATCTGTCCGTTATGCGCCGGGGTCAAACTGAGAAACGTCGCTCCCGCGACGTCGCGAGATTCGCGTTTGCCCTGCGCCGCATTCAAAAATGCACCCACGGCAATTTCACTGACGCGTCGGGACGCGTACGAATGATTTTTAAAGGCCAGCGCAATGAGACGCGCAACAATGTCGGCGGCGCGTATAGCGCAGCGTGGGATCGCGCGCTCGCTCAGCGCATTCCGCGCGTGTCATTGACGAGAGCGGCGATCACAAAAATCACTCTCCCGATCCGGACGCTGCCGCCGCAGTCGCCGCCGTCGCCGCCACTGCCGCTCGCGGGGAAGCTGGATCAGCGGCGTTGGTATGCGCGGAATTCGCCGCAGAGCACACGTTTAGAGAACGCGCGTTTCCACCTGGAGCGCCGCTCCCTCCTCCCGCTGCCGCTACTAAACTGATCTCGGTTGTCGTTTGCCGTTCTCTAAGAATCGTCGTCGTCGTTGTAGCGTTTTGCGCTCGTTCGCGCGCTGCATCTTTCGCAGGGGACCACGTCGAATCCCGGCGCCACGACGAGAGAATGCACATACGACGTCGTCCCACGCATACCGATCTGCCGATCTACCTGTTGATTCAGTGCAATTCAATGCGGCTGTTTCACGCGCACACGCTGCTCGGTGCGCTCGCTCGCTCGTTCGCTTTCCTTCGCTTCTCTTTCTCTTTTTCTCGCTCGCATACAATCGCATCCGTAAACACCTGGCGCCGCCGGTGAGGAACGCGAGAGCGAGCCTCACCTTAGGCGGCCCATACCGAGGCTCCTCCATCAGAGATTTTTTTCCGGTTATTCTTCCTCCCGCGTATAGCGATCGCCTCGATATGCGAGCGCTAATGCGTATTCGGAGCTTCGTTTTATCGCATAATTCTGTACGATGTCCCGACATGCGCATGTATAATTTTTAATAAAAATAAAAATGAATGAATGAACGAGAAGACTTATTAGTATATATACAAAAATATGGAATATTTTTATATATTTTTTAATATATTTTTATATATTTTTTTATGTGTGTGTGTATGTTGTCTTTCATATACAAATGAACATGATATGTACAAGTCTGTATATTGTAAAAATTTTGTGCATTGACATTGCTCCTGTACATAATTATAATCACAATATACAAGGTATATAAAAATTTTATATTATATATTACAAAATTATTAAAAGCTTTATGATCATAATTCAACAAAAATTTTCAAAAATTACGTTGTATATACTTAACATTTTATCATTTGTGCAAGTCTTTCATAATGAACCATTAATATATAGTCTCGCAATAAATATTAACTAATTAAAGAATAATTTCGTTCTTGTAATTTCGCGTAAGTTCCTTATGTGGTAAAACAATCGAGTTCAGAAGAATTTTCTCTGCAGCTAAGCTCACACTAGTGCCTGAAATAAAGTAAATATAAATAATTGTAAACTTACACGCAATTACACATTTCATATTTTTTATCTTCTTACCAAGTATCGTGATGGACGGATTGAGCTTGCCATTAACGTTGAACAGTGGCAAATTTTCCATTTTTGCAAATGGCTTATTAGGATTGGGATCGCAAGGGGTTCCCTCGACACGTGCCCATTCGCCTACGCTGGTTCCTGTTCCAATGATGCTTTGTAGAATAAGAGAATGAGCTTGTATGTGTGCATTAGCCAATACGATTGATTCCCTGATTCTCACACCAGGCCCGATGATTGTATTTGGGCCTATACTCACATTTGGACCTAGCTGCAGAGAATAAAAATTTCATGTTAATAAATGAGCGAGTTTATAAATCACAAGACAATTTGTTCTTAATACCACTGAAGTTGGATGTACAGTAGCCGATGGATGAATATAGACATCTCCTATAATGTTACAGAAATTATTGCTTGTAGAAGCAAGGCGATTTGGTTGCTTTTGCTTGTAAAGAGCCAAGTAATGTCGATTGGCGTATATCGCGGAGCCCGCGGTTTTCACTTGCGACCACCATCTGAGTACAGGCAGAGCGAATAAGCGGCCGGATCCTGCCAAACGCGTCAATATGTCTTGCTCAAACGCAATATGCGCCGGATCTCTACCATTATAGCATAGTTGCCTGCAGTAACAAAATGTTAAAACATTCATTCTTTTATTATATGCAAAGCATGTCTATGAGAAACTTACATTATATGATCCTGCTGCTGATTAGCATGAAAGACGTCTGCCATCGTTTGAAAAATTTCTGGAGATGCAAGATATATTCCACAGTTAATAAGAGTCGATACAAATGTAGACGGCTTCTCCACATAATGTGCCACCTGACCCTCTTTCCCCAATACCATGCATCCATAGTTTAATGATTGTTGTCGAGTTGCTTCTGTTGCCATGATTGTAAGTAGTGCCTGTTTGCTACTGTGAAACTCCACCATCTCTTGCAGAGGAAAATCGGCACAGACATCTCCGTTCATGACAAAAAAGTATGTTGGGCTGCCCGATCGTATCTGATCACGAAAGTGATACATGCCCCCTGCAGTTCCAAGGGGTGTGAATTCCTGCAGATATCTAATAATTATGCCATAGATATTTGACATCTCCTGTACGAATTGAGTTAGGTCATTTTTGGGATATGCTCCAATTATTAGCACTTCATTAAGACCAGGCACTTTGGTACAAGCTTCAATGTGATGTTGAATCATGGGTAATCCAGCTACTGGAAACAGTGGTTTTGGGATATCCAAGGATAAAGGTCTAAATCTAGTTCCTGCAAAAAAAAAAAATAAATGTAATATAACAAACAATGAACCAAACACATTTGAAAAATCTAAGTTTTTAAAGTTTTGTAATAAAAATCTTATACACATAATCATATGTAATTTTAACACTAAATTAAATAATTCTATAGTTCCCATAATTAAATGGATATTAACACAAACCTTTTAAAGGTCCTCCGATTAAAATAACAGCCTTCAACATGATTGCATGAATGAAATACTTCTTAGTTAAATAATTCTAATCCCAGCAAAAGAGGCAGTGATAGTCACAACGAATCCTCCAAGACGGTGAGAAGAATCAACACTAATTACACCGCGTAGACATATTTGTACACGTGTGGACGTGTCATCGATGACGATATCAGTGACGTACAATTACCGATAAGTCGACTTGATGCCGGAACGAGCGTGACAGAGAAAAAACGACTTTCTTCAACTGCCGGACTAAGTCGATCTTATCATCAGCAGCAGATAATCGGCAACATCTCACATATTAAAAGGGAGTCTGCTGAGATAATTGAGAGGTAGCATAATCCAATGGCGATATCGGAAGACTATATAAAATGCTGACTGCCACTTTAAATCTCGCACTGTCACTTCGTACTTTCATTCCTCGTCTTGGATGTATCCTCATGCAAGGTTTGACTCAACTCCCCCTCAATTTATTCGAATTAAATGGCGATCAGCTGATACGCTAATGATCCCGCGTGAAGTCGCTTTTTTAGTTCCGGTTCCCATTTCTCTTCTTCTCTCTCTCTCTCTCTCTCTCTCTCTCTCTCTTTCTCTCTCCTTCCTGATTGATGTGGAAACAGTGAATAATTTGGTCGGTCGCACAAAATCAATCTATTTTTAATGCTAGAAATTTATCCCCTTTCGCAGAGGAAATTTTAAAAAATTCAAGTATTCATATATCGTCGTAGCTCGAATCATTTATCACTCGTGGATAGTAAACAGCAGGACAGGAAACAAGAGTCGTCCAATGACGATAGGACGTGCGAACAGAGTTGCCAACGTCCCTATCTGGAGGAAATTGTCTAGAGAATTATCTTTGTTGCGAGCATCCTGGGAAAGAAGAAGAAGGGAAATGAGAAATCGCGAGGAGCGAAGGGTGGGTTTACTCTTTGCAGTGGAACTTTTTGTTTTCATCCTTCCCCTCTTACCCTCCACTGTTTAATTATGTGTATTCGTTTCGTTTCGGATGCAGGCGACAATAAGTGAGTGCGGTTATCTGAGGCGGACCGGAAGAGAAAGTGAGGGAATGAAAGATCGCGGAATCTTCGTCGAGGTCGAACCAAATTTCGTCAACTTGGCGCGAAAACTCTCGCCGCGCGCGGGCTCGTCTCCCTGTCGGCTGCCATCGGCGAAGGGCGCCGGACGTAGAGGAGGAAGGGGATTAGGGCGGGGAGGAGGAGGGCACACGCGATCAACTTCGGTGCTGTTCGGTTCGGTGCGGCCGTGCGCACTCGAGCGAGGGCCAGCGTAGCGCGCCGATGGCAGCGTAAGACGCTCGCGTCGCCGCCGCCGCCGACGACGACCGAGGGATTGACTCTTGGTGCGCGATTTGGTACGTCGACCTCCGTAGTCCGCGACCGAGAAAGTGCGAGAAGAACGACGAAGGATCGGGTGTATACAAAGTGCGTGCGTGCATCGCGTCGTGCCGTATCGCGCCGCGCGAGCTCGGTAAATTCGCACTCGCACGAAAGAAAGAGAGAGCGATAGGCGGGGGGAAGGGAAGCGAGAAGGAGAGGAAAGAAGAAACGAGAAAGAACGAGAGAGAGAGAGAAAGACGTACATTCACATTCACACGCGAAACAGTTGTGTAGTGGCGCGTTCGTGACGAAGCGCAACATCGTACGGCATCGTAGCAGAGAGGAAACGACCGAACTTCGAAGCGTACGGACGGACGCACGGACGGAGACGAAACGAGACGAGACGAGACGAGACGAGACGTGACGTGACGTGACGTGACGTGACGTGAAGGGAACGCGTCGAGTCCCGCCGCCGTTGTCGCTCGTCGCGTGCGTCGTCTTGTCGGAGTCAATCGGACTCTGACTCAGGTTCGGACTCGTTAGCCGCGATTTGCGAGGAGCGTCCCCGTTCGCTATCCCGACATATCGGGATACAGAGATCGGGGTGGTCACCGGGGGGTTGCTGTCGCCGATCGCCCGAGGAACGTGACACTACGTTGCTGACCACCTGCAGAGAGAAGCATGGAGAAAAGCGTGGAGATCCCCAGGAGCTTGAAGAAAGAGATCAGCGACACGCAACAAAAATTGCAGAAAGCGATACTCGAGCATCAGGTGAGAAAAACAGCGAAACCGAAAAAGAGAGGGAGAAAGACAAAACGAGTGCGATGCTGCGATCGAGAAATGGACGGTATATAGGATTAAGACGAAATAAGAAGGCATGGCAAAGGGAGGCTTCTTCCTCGTGACATGTTTATCCTTGGAGAAGATCGGCGGGGGAGTTCCCTTTTTTTAACCGTCACGCGAGCTTTTATTTCGCGCGAGGCATACGAGGACAGCCACACAACCGACCCTCAAAAGTCGTGAGGAATCCTCTGATTCGATACAATCGATCGATCGATCGATCGATCGCTCGCTCGCTCGCTCGCTCTCGCGCTTTCGAAACAACAAACAGCAGATCACAACCAGCGGTTTTGTAGAACTTCAGCGCGCCCGCGCAAGCGTCAAAAGATTTTAGGGATTGGAGGATCGTTCACACATCAAAGAGCGAAGAAGAAAGCAAACCCAAAAGTCGAAAGTTCCATTTATGGCTGAACGTATCCACTTCTCTTCTACTTGGCGTCTCCTCGCGCTCTCTTTCCCCCCCCTCTCTCTCTTTCCGAACATCCGTCTCCTTTATCTTTCCTCTCTTTTTCTTGTATTTTACGCGCCTCGTCGGAAGCGAGCGAGAAATTCGTCGCCAGAGACGATCGAGTTACCAGCGTTCTCGCGAGCGATTTAATCGACGACCAACTCTGCCACCGGGAACTTGTTGATCCGCGTTCCCCGCGAAGGCCAGCGTCCACGGGAGGGTCTCTTCAACGTATACACATCTCCGCACGCCTCCATCTTTATAAATATATCGATACCGCGGGGATTCCTTTGTATCGCCTCGCGCGAAGATGTCTCGCTCGACTGCGATATTTTCGCACGACGCGCCATGCGAAAATATAGATTCTCTCATTGATCCCTCGCACCCATCGTGTGCCCTAAAAGTTTGCGCGCGTCCGATTGAACGGGCGCCGTCGAACTCGCGAGGCGACGCTCCACAGCAGACAATCGATATCTCCCGGATTGTCCGACCGCACTTTTCCCCATTTTTCCGCGAGAGATGAAGAATCCTCTCGACCGAGCGCGATACAGCTAGGCGGTATTCGATAAACTTATGTGTCCATTGTCTTTAGCATCATGATCCTCCTTCTGTAGATCCCATAAATCTTTTAGAAAGAAAAATCCTGTTCAAATTCCTGAAAGAAAAATCAATAAATTAGAAGAGTCCTCGGAACGCGTCGAGAGAGGAGACAATGGCAACGCGGTTTCGCAATCGTCGGACGCGATTTATGTAACCCAAGTTCGCGCACTTGGTCAAAGAGAGATGGGTGCAAGTCGATACTTGCGCCAGGACGCTTTCCGGAATTGTCGAGTCACGCTTGATTTACTTTTACCGCGAAAATGTTGACGAGGTCTTTCTCTTTCCGCTTTTGCGCGCGTCGCAGCGAGACGAGTTCCGCCAAGTTTGCCTACGCAACTAACGAATTGCTCGATAATCGTGCCGTGATAAAAAAAAAAGTATCCATCCGCGAGCGAGAAGAAGAACCGCAAAAGTCATAAGCGGAATTCTTTTACTCTCTATAATTAATTTGATTTTACTTTTGCGAAAATATGATCATTATTCTTTTATTACCATTTCATATTCATATAACTAAGAGAAATACGTATAATTTTATTACTCTTTATTACATGATTAAAAATAATGATTTAATAAACATTCCTGGTAATTGAGGTAATTGAGAATAATATTCACGAGAAGGTATATTAATTATAAATATTTAGATGGTAAGAATCGCTTCCTGGAAATGTGAAGAGTTAATCATGAATTTAATATAATTTAATAATTATTGAAATTATTATAATTATTAATTTAATAATTATTAATAATTTGAAAATATATTGAAAATATATAACATACATTCCTGTAATAATTAAGAGTAATATCTCCACGAAAATGTAATTAATTCTAAATATTTGGATTGTAAAAATCGTTTCCTAAAAATACGAAAAATTAATTAGTCATAAATATAACAATAAATACATAATTAAGAATGTGTAATATTGTTATGTAGAAAAAATTAAGGATAATGTTCACGTGAACATATGCTAGTTTGGCGTACTACTAGATTGCGACGATCGTTCTCTGGAATAGCAAAGAAAGTTAAATACGAATCGCGACGAATTAGCGGGATGTTAAATGCGAAATTCTAATTTGCATCTTTATTAATTAATGGAGGTATTAACGGGGCAGGGAGAGAGCGTAATGGCGTAATGGCGCATCGTGCTCCAGTTGCTCGTGCACATTGGCATACTTCTGTTAAATTATTTATCTCGCTCAGTCCTGGATTATGCTCTGCATAATAGAATTCTATATATATATATATATATATATTTATTTTTTTTTTTTTGTATTGATGCTGATGGCATTTTTTCGTTAAATTACAGATATACGTGGAAAGGCTGAAGGATGACCCCAATGTAAGTATCATTATATTGATTATCCGTACGATATTATTATACATTGTCATCCAATTGTGTCAATTACATGATGGTGCATTATATATCGTCATTATAATTTGAAATTCTCTCTCTCTCTCTCTTTGGCATGGCGTTTAAATACATTACGTCTGACTTTGGAAATATATATACACCTTGCTGAATAATTTTCGCACTGCGGCTTTGCGGTTCGATGCGATTTATTTCGAATTACTCTCGAAGGGTAATTCGAGGGTAATTCGAATAGTCGATGCAGCGAGACTTCGAGCGGAAGTCTGCGTGTACTGCTTTTGGAATCTCATAAGTTACGCCGCACAACAAACTTCGGCTAGACATTTCATCTCGCGACAATTACAGCAAGGATTGATATTTACGCGACCAAAGGAAAACTTTTCTGCTATATTTAAAATTGAATCATCAGGCTGATTAATTTCATTGGTAGCTCTAAAGATAGAACAATTCTCGATGACTTATTTATATAAAATATCGATTTTTTATTAGCGAATTTAAATTAATTCTCTTATCGAATCATTCACTCACTTTTGTTTTGCGTTATCAATGGTAGTACCAGATGCGCATGAACGTATCGACATTGCGCGACAATTATTCCTCACAATATTCCACAAAGACTTCGATGCACGCAACTCGCCCTAATTCCGACAGTTACGTAGTTCCAGTTTCGGACTCGATGTACGATCACGATGCATTCTGTTACAGAACCCAGACATTCTCAGCAATATAAAAAATATTCAGGTGTACATCGTCTCTTTGGGAAGATGTCAGGTAAGTGCGCGCAATTGATTTTCTTTTCTATCGCATGTGTATAGCACGATTCACGATACATCTATATTTCGTTTTTTCTCAAGTTTCCATACTAAGTACGAGACCTTGCAGTTTCATAATCAATCTCTTGGCAGGTCGTTCGTACGATTTTAAAAATAGGCTAAATTTATTTATAGTAGTCAAAGCTGATTGTATCTTGAAGACTGATAATGAAGACTGATTCTTATTCTTTATATATATATA